TGGAGTTCTAGGACAGCCAAGGCTACACAGAGAAATCCTAAGTTATGGTTCATATATGGTCAGCCCAGGGAGTGGCACTATTAGAAGTTGTGGCTCTGTTGGAGTAGGTGTGTCACTGTGGATGTGGGCTATAAGACCCTCATCCTAGCTGCCTGGAAGTCAGTATTCTGCTAGCAGCCTTCAGATGAAGATGTAGAACTCTCAGCTCCTCCTGCATTGTGCCTGCCGGACGCTGCCATACTCCTGCCTTGATGATAAAGGACTGAATCTCTGAACCTGTAAGCCAGCCCCAATCAAATATCGTCCTTATAAGAGTTGGCTTGGTCATGGTATCTATTTATAGCAGTAAAACCCTAAGACACCCTGCCTCAAAAAACCAACCAACCAACAAACAAACAAATAATGGAAACATTTAAATATATGAGAGAGGGCTAGAGAGATGGGTGAGAAGACCACTGACTGTTCTTCCAGAGGTCCTGAGTTCAATTCCCAGCAACCACATGGTGGCTCACAACCATCTGTAATGGGATCTGATGCCCTCTTCTGGTGTGTCTGCAGACAGTGACAGTGTACTCACATACATAAAATAAATGATTTTTTAAAAATTAATAAATTATATGAAAGAAATGTGTCAAGTTCAATGTATGGCTACTAATGAGACTTCTGGGAACTATTTCTATTTACCCAGATAGAGGAACAACAGCAGCCCAAATAAATAACTCTATCCAGCTTGGTGCATGTCTTAGTTAGGGTTTCCATTGCTGTGAAGAGACGCTATGACCAAGGCAACTCTTATAAAGGTAAACATTTCACTGGGGTTTAGTCCATTATCATCCAGGAAGGAAGCATGGCAGCATCCAGACAGGCATGGCACTGGAGGAGTTGAGAGTTCTACATCTTGTTCTGAAAGCAAGCAAAAGAAGACTGGCCTCCAGGCAGCTAGGAGAAAGGTCTTTCAAAGCCCACCCCCACAGACACACTTTCTCTAACAAGGCCACACCTACTCAAACAAGGTTCCTAATAGTGCCACTCCCTGGGCCAAACCTATTCAGACCACCACAGTGCACCAACAATTTTTTTGGTGATACTTAGAGGAGCATGAGTCACTTATCCATCTGCGTCACCCCAGTGTGGAGGATGACTCGTGAGCTTGTGTGGCTGGAGTCCCTTGCCCAATTTGCAGATAGTTACACCCTTAAAGAGTCTTCATTACCCCAGCTTTTGACTGTTTGTAGAGTCTCAGGGAGGGACCTTGCACGTTTCTATAGCTTCCAAAGTTTCTTTTTAATTTCGTTTATTTTTGAGACTATAACATAATCATTATCATTTCTATTTTCCCTCTTATTTTTTTAAGATGTATTTTATGCATGTGCTGCACAAGCATGCATGCAGTGCCTTCAGAGGCCAGAAGATGGTGTTACATCCTCTGAGAGTGGAGATACAGAACAGTAACAGGCTGCTGGGGGCTGTTTGTTTGTCCGTGCTGGGAACTGAACCAGGGTCCTCTGCAGAAGCAACATGTTCTCTTACTAGCTGAACCATCTTTTAGGATCCCCTCATGGCTCAGAAAGGAATGTTTCAGTCCAGAGGAAACAGCAACCCAGTGGCTGATCTCACCTAAGATGCCCATCAAGAACTATGCAGTCACAGACAGCTTTTAACAGAAGACAGTGTTTAGAGTACTGCTGTGTTTGGTCTCACTGCAGATCACTAGGCAAAAGCTAAGGGAAAGGTCTGACAGGCAGATAGGAAAATAAGAACTTGTTAACCCCAAAGCTATGAGTTTATACTTCTGTTAGATTTTCAATGTCTTATGTCCAGGTCTCGGGAACCCCAAGAGAGCTCAAAGAATTATCATATCCACTGTAGAGGTACATAAGAGCCCTTTATTTTAAACCCAGGTTTGAACCGCAAGTTGCACAAAGCGAAGTTGTGGCCCAGTGTCAGAGAGTATAGAGAATATATACAAACAGGTTATACAGGGGGAGGGAAGCTTCGGATAAGGGAAGAGTTAATGTTTTTACAAACCGGTCACAGCTGCCTGGGAACTCTTAATTGGCATGATTTCTCTCTAAGGATGTATGGTTTTTGCTTTTCCCAAGGCCTTAAGTCACCTGTGTTGGGGAGTGTTTGGCCATCCATCAGAGAGGGTGCATGGAGACTGGTGCACAGTATCTATCTGTTCTCAAACTGATATCATCTTTCCCAGGATGTGGGTTCTATTAGAGTAAGGATTTGTGGCCTTTGGCACTGGCAGTGTCTTTTTGGGAGGGGTCAGGTGGTGGGAAGGAGGATGTCTGTGTGGGGGGGAGGGAATGCTGAGGGGGGAGGAGGGAAGTACTGTAGCTACTGCGAGCACCAGCCTGCTAGGCTTCTGGGGAAGTGCAGAAGCTGGCACTGGCCGTTTGGCCTTCAAATGTATACACACCAAGAACTTTAAAAACTCTATAGGAGGCTGGAGACATGGTATAGAGCACTTGCTCTTGCACAGGACCTGGGTTCAGTTCCCAGGACCCACAGTGAGGCTCACAACTATCTGAAACTCCAATTCCAGGACACCAGGTACACATATGGTACATATATATATATATGCACACAGGCAAAAACACCAATCCACATAAAATAATAAATATTTAAAATTAAAATAAGCCTGGTGGTGGTGGTGAGGACACCTTAAATCTCAGCATTCAGGAGGCAGAGGCCAGCAGATCTCTGTGAGTTCAATGCTATGTTGATCTACAGAACTAGTTCCAGGACAATGAGTGCGATACAGAGAAATCATGTCTTAAAAAACAAAACAAAATAACAAAAAATTAAAATAATATTATAATTAAAAATGTACTTAGCTGGAACTAAAGTTGTACCCATAACTATTCTGTAGCTCAAAAATCTTTCCTTTTATTTAGTTTTTAAATTTTTGAAACAGGCTCTACATATATAGCACAGGCTGGCCTCAAACTCATTATCTTCCTTCTCACTTTTCTGAATGTTGTTACCACAGGCTGTACCACCATTGCACCAGGCCCTAGGCATATGCAATGTCAGTTAGAGGCCCTGTCATGGACAGAACTCACTTTCTGTTCCAGCCTTTTACAGTTTTTGGCAGTACTATAGCATAGCACAACACAATATAGCTAGAATGTGCACTTTACTTCAGTTGTCTTAGTTTCTCCTTTAGTGTGAACCTCTGGGGGAAAAGCACCATTATAAAAAAAAAATCAGTGGGGTTTTTTTGTTGTTATTTTAGTTTTCTTTGTTTGTTTTTGGTTTTTGTTTTGTTTTTTGTTTGTTTGGTTTTGGTGGTGGTGAGTCTTGAACCTAGCATCTTACTGGGCACTCTATCATTGAACTCTATCTCCAGTCTTTTATCTGTTTTGGGTGTGTGTGTATGGAGACCGGGTCTCATTGGTATTCCCAGAGTAGTTTTGCACTTGCTCTGTAACCTAGGCAATCCTGGAACTTGTGATCTCTCTCTGCCTTAGGCTTCTGCCCAGCTGGGATCACACACAACTAGGCTAACATGCCCAGCAAGAATATCTTAATACCTTCACCTACCCAACTAAACGTACTTGAACTCAATAGCAACACATCAGGGACTGAAGAGATGGAGAGATGAACTCTTGCAGAGTTCAATTTCCAGCACTCATGGAAGGTGGGGTGTCTTTCAACAGCATGTAACTCCAGCCAAGGAGATTACATGGCTCCAAGGATCTGACACCCTTTCCTGGTCTCTGAAAGCAACTGCACCCAGATAGATAGATAGGTAGATAGATAGATAGATAGATAGATAGATAGATAGATAGATAGATAGATCTAACCCTTCAGAATAAATAAGACTGATACATCATAGTTGGCTAGTTTATTCTTTAAGCCCCTGTTAACTTGTTGGCTAGTTGTTTTTTTTTCTTTACTAGAGAATACAGATTTGCCCTATCGTGTCCCACAGTGAGATCTTGGTGATTTCATCCGTACTTTAACAGTTTAGTCTGTTGTTTGTAGTTTTCATACACTAACAGTTGTACCTACAGACTTGTCAGACTTGGATGTCTGCCTCTCTGTGTCCCCACCTCTCCTGTTGTGGTATATGGGTGTACAGTGGTATATGTCTGTGTCTGCTTTATATTCATGTCCACTTGGCTTCTTTAGGAAATTTGCAGTTCCTTTCACGCCTGGGCTCCACGTAGAAGCCAGGGCTGCAACCCTGCTCTGTCTGTGCTCCAGCACTGCACCACACCTCCAATCCCTAAACCTCCTAAGTGAAGAAATGGTACGCATTTTGAAATCAAATCTCCCCTGCCTCCCACAGGAAGTGTGGGTGATCACTTCTTTGACACAGGGAAGATGCATGATTAAGCAACAATCAGTGTAAGAGAAACATTAGAACGACAAACTCCTCCCCATCTCTCCCCTCCCTTTTCTTTACAATATGGCGAGACAAGCCTGAAATTCCACTGGGAGGCAAGGACAGGACCATCAGCTGGAGGATAACCTAGGCTAGGTAGTGAGACTCCACTTCAACAAACAAAAACAAACATGGGGGTGAGGGGGGCGAAGGTGCGAGAGAGGGGAGAGAAAAGCAATGAGAAAAAAAAAGGTTTTTTGTTTGTTTGTTTGTTTGTTTGTTTGTTTTTTAGATTTTAGTTGTCACACACTACAGATCTCTGGAAGCTTTAGTTCCAGAAGGCAACCAAACAGGGCTCATCGGCTAATATGCTATTAAAAATTAAGCGAAGCATGGGCTTGTTGCCACTTAATCAAAGTTGGTGATCTTCCGTACTCAAGGAGAGGTAGCCACCCCAAGTACTCCACCACTGAGGCACTAAAGCGAGAGCCTTACTCAGCCACAGATCTTTCCTTCCCTTTTCACCTTTTCCCAGGCTTCTTGAGGCCCGCAAGGCACTTGGCTGTGGAATCCAGGTCCCGCCCATCGCTTCCCGGGAGGGGCGTGGTCGTTGGGGGCGTGGCCTAAGGCCCCGCCTCCGCCCGCGTCCCCGCGGCAGACCCACACGAGCCGGGTGACTAGCTGCCGCCGCCGCCCGAACGAGAGGCAGAGGCAGAGCGGGTCCTCACACCGCAGCCATGGGGAGCCGCGTGTCCCGAGAGGAGTTCGAATGGGTCTACACGGACCAGCCCCATGCCGCCCGGCGCAAAGAGATACTAGGTGAAGACTGGCGCCCCGTTATGTGCGCGCGGCCGTGTGTGGGCCCTGCGCGGCCTCCCGCGCGCGCTGTGTGAGCGCGGCCCCTGCGTCCCCTTCCAGCCGCTCGGCTGCTCGGCCGCCCGCGCTGGAGACGCCGAGGTAGCGGAGCGGGCCGGAGGGCCGAGGGATCGGGGTCTGCGCGCCCCCGCTCGCCGCTAGCCCTTCGCTGGTCAAGCGTTGGCGGCCTCCGCCGGCCTGTGAGCTGAGGGTCCCCTGGTAGGGCGACCCAGACTCGCCCCTCCTGCTCCGACAGTCGCGGGTGCCCCCGCTCCGGGTAGAGACGTGGGCTCGGGACGCCTGCTTGGCTCAGGGCGTGGTCCCGGGGCATCCCGGCCCCCGGGAGCCTCGATCACGTGGTCCAGTCAGCCGCAGGCCTAGGGGGAGACCGGGTCCCAGTGACCCTAGGCTTCCCAGACCGGATGGCTCATGTGAGTCCTTATTCCAGTGATCTGCGGGACCGGGTGGATAGGAAAGGCGCGCAGCTTTGCCTTCCGGACCTTAGGGCAGGATAGGCCTGATTTACTAGAGTATCAGAGGTTTCCACGTGAGACAGAGAGGTGTCTCATCCCATGCAGGCTGCTCTTAAGAATAAGGACAAGTTGTTGGGTTGAGAGCTTTGCATATATCACCCAGTTCAATTTTCTGTTTCCAGTACTTTGCCTGGGCCGGCATTTTTTAAAAGATGAAGTACTGTTATGAAGATCCCAACCTCTTCATAATTAGATTATAGCCAAATAATATGCCTGTTTTCTTTTCTTGGTGCTAGATATAGAAAGTTTATTTGGTTTATTTGGTTTTTAATTGAGGGAATCAATGAAAGGCCATTGAATATGAGGAGTTGTCTCATATCCACCATTTTTCACACTTTCTTAAAATATTTGCCTAGTGGAGGAGGGGGCGGGGAGGCTCTGATTTCTGCAGTAGTTGCTAAACTTTGACATTTCTTGTTTCGCAAACCAGAGTGATTAGGTGCCTTTCAAATAGACTTTATTTTTCTAGTGGAATTCACACTCAGGGGCTACCTGGTGCTAGTAAGTTCTCTAGGTAGCATTGAGCTGCACCCCCTGGCCTCTGACCTGGAACTTAAACTGAGTGACTTGGTTGGAAAGGCGAAACCTCAGTCATTATCACCAGCTGTGCTGTCGGTTGCTTTGGGCTCTTAGGTTTTGTTAGTCATTGCCTCGCTGCAGCAATAAATGTCTGCAGTTCGAAGGAGGGAGGAAGGACTTTGGCTGATGGCTTCCATCGGTGCTCATGAGTGCCATTGCGTTTGGGTGGGGGTCTGGTGAAATCATGGTGGATGGGGTTTGAAGGAGAAAAGCTGATCCGCTCATGTCAGCCTGGAAGCAGAAGAGAGCAGGTGGAAGCGTCCTTTGTGGCATGCCTCCAGTGCTCACCTCCTCCTAGGTCTTTATTCTGAGTCCTTTTAGGGATTAATATGTTGATAAGGTTAGAAACCTTCAGGATCGTCACCGTGACCCGATCCATCAGCTAGGGCCCAAGCCTTTAATACTCCGTTGTATGGTGATACCACATTGTACTTAATAGTTGTTTGATAGACACTTGAGCTGATAACCCCTTTCAGCTGTTTTTGATAGTATTCCTTAGAATGTACAGGGCATGGATTCATTTTTTTGGGGGGGTCACTGGCATTTTGGTTGAATGTCAGGCAGTCTAAACCATTTTCCATATTCATCGGCAGTGTATGAAGATTCTGGTTTCTCCACAACCTAGTTGTTACCTGCCTTCGGGTGTGTGGGCGTGTGGGCATGCCCCCACGAGTGTACGTGCACACACACACACACACACACATACACCACAGTGTGCAGCGTGGCTGTCAGGAGTGCATTCTCCTTTCACCTCGTTCTCTCTTGTTCCTGCCTCTGCTGGGCACACCAAGCTCACTGGCCTGAAAGCCGGTGCAGCCAAGCGCTTGTCTCAGCACTAACTTCTCCTCTGTTTATATGAGGCCTTAGACTATTGGGTTTGGGGAGTTTGTTTTGCTTTGTTTCCTTTTCTGAGACAGAATCTTACCATGTAATTCAGACTGGCCTGGAATTTACTAACCACCTCAACCTCCTGACAGCTGAGATTATAGGTGTCACTTGCCCCAGTTGGCTTTAAAGTTTTGTGAAGATTCAAAACAGAATTACCTGGAGGAAGCTTGGTCTGAGAGAACCATGGAAATGAGTTCTGTGATTTAGAGATCCTATAAAACAAATGTCGGCTGTGCTAGCTTAATGGTGTATATAAGATAAATATGCCAGAACTTTGGTTATAGTGACAGCTCAGTGACTAAGAGCACAAGAAAACTTGCTGCTCTGGCAGAGGTCACAGGTTCAAGTCCCAGTGGGACGTGGGTGCTCACAACTAACTGTAACTAGCTCTAGAGAGATTTGATCCCCTCTTCTGATCTCTGAAGGCACCAAAAAGCACCACATGGCTCACAAACATACATGTGGGCAGAACACTCAAACATACAAATAAATAGATAATTAAATAAATCTAAAAAGAAAATATGTACAGGCTTTGTCTAAACATAAATGTAATTATTTTAGTATAAAAGAATGTGGAATGTCCAGATTAATTTTTCTTGTATAAATTGTTGTACTGTGCTATTTTGTGACTTCATTACCAGAACATACTCCTTTCCTTTAGGAAATAAATATTTCATAAAGTCTGTAAGGGAAAGTGTTATGACTTAGAAAAGAGAAAAATCTAATTGCATTAACCTAATTGCATTAATTATACTTGCTGAACTATGGTATGCTTTTCTTTCTGATTTCCTGTATTTTTATTTTCTTACAGCAAAGTATCCAGAGATAAAATCCTTGATGAAACCTGACCGCAACCTGATCTGGATCATAACCATGATGCTTCTTGTCCAGTTGGCTTCATTTTACTTAGTCAAAGACTTACAGTGGAAATGGGTCATATTTTGGTCCTATGTTTTTGGCAGCTGCCTTAACCATTCTATGACTCTGGCTATCCATGAGATTTCCCACAATTTCCCCTTTGGCCACCACAAGGCACTGTGGAACCGCTGGTTTGGAATATTTGCTAACCTCTCTCTTGGAGTTCCATATTCGATTTCCTTTAAGAGATACCACATGGATCATCATCGGCACCTTGGAGCTGATGGCATTGATGTTGATATTCCTACCGACTTTGAGGGCTGGTTCTTCTGTACCACTTTCAGGAAGCTTGTCTGGGTTATCCTTCAGCCTCTCTTTTATGCTTGTAGACCCCTGTTCATCAATCCCAAACCAATTACCAATCTGGAAATCATCAATGCTGTGATCCAGATCACTTTTGACATTATCATTTATTATGTTTTTGGAGTGAAATCTTTAGTCTACATGTTGTCAGCCACCTTGCTTGGCCTGGGTCTTCACCCAATTTCTGGGCATTTTATAGCCGAACATTACATGTTCTTAAAGGGATATGAAACATACTCCTATTATGGGCCTCTGAACTTACTCACCTTCAATGTGGGCTATCATAATGAACACCATGACTTCCCTAACGTTCCTGGGAAAAACCTGCCCATGGTAAGTAAAGGACTTGATGTTTTTGTTCCTGATGATGATGTAATCAAAGTTAGTCAAGGCTTGCTTATTGTAAAAGGAATCTAATATGTTTCATGAGATTTCAAAAAAGGAGACTATATATCCTTTGTCTATAGCCTAACTTTACTAAGGATTCAGCATCCTCTGTTTTGGGTCCTTAGGCTTAGTGGTTATGCCTAGGGTTATGCTCAGAAGTATTGGGGGATGTGCACAGTCTCTTATCAGGTTAACTACCTCAGAAGGAGAAAACAGCTTCTCCATGCAGGAGCATTCATCACTGGTAAACTGTTGCAATAGGTTAAGGTGAGTTGCTCTCATGACATACAAGTGAGGTGACCTGCATAACTGACCTGTAGAGTGGACAGTATCAGGGTTCATGTTGTACTCCTCCCTGGCAGGAGGCCTGTCATGCCTTACGTGTGGAGGAAACAGAAGAAGACATTTCAACTGCATTCTTTTTATCTGTCCCCAAACAGGAATTTTAAAAAATGGAAATACATATGAAAAAGAATAGTTTTCTTTACTTTTTTTAAGCTACGATGTATATAAGGGAACCCTAACAGATGCTTTATGCTGACCTGCCCACTCAAAGTTTTGTAATGCTCAGTTGACTGTTGAGAAACCACATACAACATGATAATGAGTTACAGCATGTGATGATTGCTTTGGATCTGGTTAATACTCAATGGGTAATCCATACCATAAAAAAACGTATGTTGCAGTATTTAGAGTTGATATGCAGGGTTAAGTCTGTACATACTCAGGAAGAAAGCAGAGCGTGTTGTGTTCCATGTACACATGTAAAGTAAGTGTGTCAAAGGGCTAATTGGGAAGTTTGATTGTTCCTTTTGCTGTCCTCTCAGCTTTTTAGATTGGGAGAATGCAGCACACAAGTGTCTGGAAACAGCCTTGAACTGTGGTGCAAGGTGATGTTGGTACCCAGCCCCTTGGTGTCATTCTGCTGGTAACTGGCTAACAGTCCGGCAGCCCAGGCTTCTCTCTTCTGTGACTAGGAAACGAAGTTGTTGTTATTTTTTTAAAAGGGTTGTGATTTCAGGAACAAATCAGCACATCAGTGACTGCTCACCTCCTGCTCTTCCGTGCTATCTCCTACCCCTTTGTTAAGTTGATAAACTATAGACAGCCCTAGTGTTGGAAAGGCCTGCCTTTTCTGTTCTTTCTAAGATGTCAGCCTATGAGACAGAAATCTGTTTATTCAATAACTACCTGGCATTTATTACACAGTCCCTATGTAGTTTTAATATTTTAACTTTTAAAAGGATTTTGTGTATTTTTAGTGGATCTTGCTGCTCACCAACATTTTTTTATTTTATGTGTATATATGTTTGCAAATATGTATGTTACCATGTGCATGCCCGGTGCACTCAGAGGCCAAGAAAGAGTGCTGGAGCATCTGGAACTGGAGTTACAGGTGGTTGTGAGGCGGCATGTAAGAGCTGGAGACCAAACAGGTCCTCTGTGAGAGCATCAAGTGCTCTTAGCCACTGAGCCAGCTCTCCAGCACTACAAAACATTGGTTAGCATGCATTTTTTAGTTATTTTACAACTCTGTAAGAATCACAGACGTCATATGTCAGTATGTGAAGTGGGCACACGGCTGACAACTTCCCTACGTTCTCTAATTCTTAGCTTTATAGATTTGATTTTTTTTTAAACTTTGTGTCTTTATAATGTATACATTTCATGGGCTTCTTGTGTTAATGATGATCCTGAATGCATTTTCTGTCTCAGTCTTGAGTCAGTGTTTACCCAGGCTCCCTCATCTTAAGATTTGGAATGCTACCATCTTTCTGCTTCAGCTGTTAAGTGAAACTGATTGCTCCTGGCTTTCTCATAAATTTGGTGTCGATTATGATGGAACTGTTTATATGTGTGTGATATGTAGGCCATCTTTATTCATGAAGAATGGCAGACGGTCTAAAGGACCATAAAGGAAAGCATTGCCCTTGGTTGGATTTTGTCCCTCTGTCTGACTGTGTCACTCGTCATTCTGAGGCCTCAGTAACATGTTTTTACTCCCAGGTGAGGAAGATCGCAAGTGAGTACTATGATAACCTCCCGAACTACAATTCCTGGATCAAGGTGCTGTATGACTTTGTGACGGATGACACAGTAAGTCCCTACTCACGGATGAAGAGGCCTCCGAAAGGGAACGAGGTTCTGGAGTAAATACCATCACACCCAAAGGAATTCCTTTGAATGGCTTCAAAATAGGTGATAAAATGGAGTTTTTATCTCGTTAAGCTTAAAGTCAGTGATGCTCAGAAGCTATGCTGGCTAATTTCCACCTAGGATCTCGGTGTCATCAGAGGCTCCTCAGCCTTCAGACAGCCCGACACTCACTTGTGGCTACTGCACTTGCTCACCTGTACTCACTCGATCTGTTACTGTTACTGAGGGTGTTTTTACTCATGTCTGTCATACTGTAAGCAAACCATAAAAAGCTTATGTTATTTTTCACTATAAAGCTTTACTTTATTAAAGCACCTAATAAACTGAACTGTTAATTATATATATATATATATATATATATATATATATATA